CGAGCGCGGGGACAGTGAGGGGGGACACCGTGGGGAGAGTGGGAAGAGTGGGGGGGGACATCAAGCGTGGGGAGAGTGGGGGGACACTGAGCGTGGGGACAGTGAAGGGACGCCAAGCACAGGGACAGTGGGGGGGGACAGTGAGCACCGGGAGAGTGGGGGGAGACGCGGAGCACGGGGACAGTGGCGGACACGGAGCGCTGTAACTGGGACGACACTGAGTTGCTGAAATGGGAAGCAGTCACTGAGTGTCTCGGGGTGGCTGCTGAGCCTGTGGGGGTCGTGGTCCCCTGCCTCTGTGCATCTGGTCCTCCGGGCCCCCGGTTTCATGGAGGTGCTCTGGGGCTCCTCCCCCTGGGCCTCTTGTCCGCCGTGCTGCCTGCTGTGCCTGTGGCCACCGCCCCGGGCGCCCTGCGGGTGGGCAGCCCCCCTGGTGTGGCCGGCGTGCGGCATCAGACAGACCTGTCGGCCCCGGTGGGGGTCGGCATCCTGGTGTCAGAGCCCAGCCTTTCCCTCCTGCTGACCTGAACCACGAGGACCGACGGTGGGCGCCCGGAAGCCGCTGTGCCCTGGGGACGCGTGTGACGTGGTCGGAGGGAGCCCCCGTCTGGGGAGAAGTGTGGGCCAGCGTCCCGTGCGTCCCCTGGCTGCCCAGTGTGACCACAGCACTGAAGTACAGTCCCCGCGCTTCGTCTGCGCCTGCCCCCGCCCCGCACGGCCTCCTTACCTGCTGAAGCTGCTGATCTCTGTCCCGCCTGACAAACTGAGGTTGCCACCCTTTTGGATGACTACATGACTGTCTGCAAGAGCGGCCCAGAGGCAGAGCGGAGCCGAGGGCACCCCCCCCAGCAGCCTGTGTCGGCCCGAGTGGTCAGTGCGGCCCGAGCAGCGCTGTCCTGGCCCCTGAGCACCTGCCTGTTCCCCGGATGGCAGTCCTCAGCGTGACCTGATGGCAGGCAGGGAAAGCGTGTCCCAGCCCAGAACCCAGACTTCTGCTCTGGGGGCCCCACATCTTCAGGACGGCAGCCTTCTGCCCGGAGCAGTCTGCTCTGCAGGAACGGTCCCCCTCCTCCGGAATCCTGGCCCAGGGGTCAGCTCTCTCCTGGTCCCTGCGCCTGCCCTCCGTCTGCCCTCTGTTCACTGTCCCCAGATACCCGGGAGGGCCCTGGGCCCTGGAAGGCAGGGGCCTGGTCCTTAAATGGGACAGTGCAGCAGCTTGGTCCAGTTAGAGGGGCTGTGGACCTAGGTCAGGGCAGAGCCGCGCGCCCCAAGCAGACCTGCCCAGGCCCCCGCGCTCAGCTGTCTCTGCCGTGAGGGCACCTGATCTCCTCTCCCAGGCCTGCTGCAGCATGGTGGGGTCCCCGCCGGCTCTGGCCCTCGCTGCCTCCGTCGCGCCCCGCCCCAGCAACCGGGCTTCCCCGGGGACGGCCGGTCCCGCACAATTCCGTCCGCCATCCCTATGTATTTGTTCCGTTTGTGTTTCATTCCATGACAATAACGTTTCTATATACGTTTCAATCTTTTACAGTCCTTAGTCCCTGGAAGGCACACAGCGGGTGAAGTGTGAACGCCGTTTCCTCTTTGCCCTTCGAGGACGCGGACTTGTCTGATGGCTTTTTCTTTCCCCTTCACAGGTGTTAAACCTTTCCGAAAAGAGATATGACCTTACGAAGCTTAACCCAAAGGTACGACCTTAACCCTTTATGTTCTGAGTTCCGTCAGATGTCCCCGAAGCCTATCTGCTCGTGCGAAAACAGTTCAAGTCTCTGTGGAATGTGACCTCGTAAGGGGTATCAGGAACTGTTCTTACCTGTGGGTTTTTTGGGTTTTTTTTTTAAGATTTTTTATTGTTAAGGAATCTCTGCACCCATCATGGGGCTCGAACTCAACCACCCCGAGATCAAGAGTCGCATGCTCTGCTGACTGAGCCAGTCAGGTGCCCCCTTGGGTCATTTTTAAATTAATTTCTTTCTTTTTTTATTTTTTTAAAGATTTTATTTATTTGACAGAGAGACAGCGAGAGAGGGAACACAAGCAGGGGGAGTGGGAGAGGGAGAAGCAGGCTTCCCGGTGAGCAGGGAGCCCGATGTGGGGCTCGATCCCAGGACCCCGGGATCATGACCTGAGCCGAAGGCAGACACCTAACAACTGAGCCACCCAGGCGCCCCTAAATTAATTTCTTTAGTTTGAAATAATTATAGATTTACGGGACGTTGCAGAATTATACAGAGCGATCCCACGTAGCCCCAGACCCAGTCTTCTCCAGTGGTAACACCACGCATTAACTAGTAATAAAGTGTTAGTGCCAGAAGCTGACGTTGGTGGGATCCACAGACCGTTTCTACCTCCAGGGTCTCCCTCCTGCTGCTTTCACATACTCCCCTCCATGCGTTCATCTTTTTCGTAGCAAAGATTTAGGGGAAGTCTTTAAGCTTGTATATACACGTGAGTTAGGGTGTATGTTGTATATGTATTCCATATGTCGGAATATTCTGAAGCTATTGGAATGAGAATATACGGTGCATTGGTGAATTGCCTATTTTAATGCTAGGTAACAAAAGTAGGATATAGAGGTCCTGGATAATAGCATCTCAGCTCTGCTCGACACACAGAAAAAAATCTAAGGGATTCATGGGTGTTGTAGCTGTTACCCCTACGTGGTGGAAGGGGTATGCGATATTTTCCAGCTTCCTGGCATTTTTCTGAAATTTTCCCATCATTTTGCACTATTTCTGTTACTTTTATAGAAGAGACCTCTCCCCTTAAGAAAAGGAAGGTGCAATAGGACGTATTTTGCATCGCTGGGGGGTGGTGGAGGGTGTCAGGTTGCTCGGGGAGGCTGTTTCCCATGCAAGGACACGCTGTGTTCCGCGTCATGCGGTGAGGACCGTCTCTGTTCCTGCTCCGAACTGTAACCCGGGCTCACGGTGCTTCCTCCCTCGTGGGCACGCTCCGGTCCTGAGAGGGGCATGTTTTCTTCAAGCACGCGGGACGGGCCGCTCTCTGAGACATCATCCGCGCAGTGTGTGGGGAACAGCTCCCTGCATTTTCCCAGACTGCGATTTCCGTCTGCACAGAGGAATTTTGGCAGCAGCTCCGGCCAAGAACTCCTGTTCCAGATCTGGCCCGGCCTCGGCCCTCCCCACGAGCCATGCCCCATTAGCGGCTCCGAAAGCCCTTTCTAGAATAGCCGTCCCGGCTGCTGGAGAGCAGATAAGATGGGGATGGCCGTCTCACGGGGGCAACATAATCCGCTCCGTGTTCCTTCCCGGTGAGGGCTCCTGGCCCCAACTCCCAGCAGGCTTTAGGAAAAGAACTCGCGGCAGGGTTTTGGTAGAGAGCCCGTCTCTCCTTGCAGATCCTGGACGTGGGCTGGCCGGAACTGCATGCTCCGCCCCTGGATCAGGTGTGCACCATCTGCAAGGCGCAGGAGTCCTGGCTGAACAGCGACCCCCAGCATGTGGTGGTCATCCACTGCAGGGTGAGTGTGCCCCGAGCTCGGGGCCCCGCGGGGACCGCCTTTCACACCCATGTCCGGATCTGCCGGTGTTTGTCCTCACTCTCCCGGAGTTTGGCTCTAGAATTTGCAGGCCTCGGGTCGATGAACGCATAGCTGGACATTTTGAAACGAACGAAAGGCATGGACGATAGTGAACCATTTTATCTTTACGCGGTTTGGTTTTTTTCGGAAAGCCCTTTTGAGAAGGAGCGGCCGAGGACGTGCGGGGCTGTCTGAGTCCTGCTATAGTTGATCCGTCTGAGCCTGGGGGCGGGATGCTGTTTGCTGCGAACGCGTGGTCCTCGCCCAGCCGGCCGCTCGAGGGGGATGGGAGCTGGCCGCGCCCGGCAGGGTGGCCAACGCTGGCCGGGGGGAGGGCACACCTCCGTCCTGGCTGCACCTGACCTCCGACCTCCTGGGAGCTTTCCTCTCACTCCTCTGGTTTCTCGCTGCCTTCCTGCACTTCCCAGTCCTCGGGTCTGATGGGTGGAGAATAGGGCTCGACAGAACACCGCTGTCCCAAGCGGGGAAGCCCCCCTGGGCCCTCCATGAAGGACGCAGACCTGCCATGCGATGCAGCCTATGGGAGGCACTTTGGGAAGGGATGGTGCTCCCAGAAGGAAGGTGCCCCTCCTCACTTTGTACGTGACACACCATGTTCCTGTGACCCTTGGAACATCACGAACATGTGGACGTTTCCTTCTTGAAATGTCTCTTTTTCAGATCTTTGCACATTCAAAAGCTGCAGGAAAATCCATTGCCTTGTGGAGTTGAGGTGCAGAGACCCTTCCCCTCAAGCTCCGTTGGGCCGTCTGAGCCACTGTCCCCTAGGGGTTCTGAGACTCGCTCGCGTGCGGTCTGTAGGAAGGCGGCGGGCCTGGGTCGTGGTGTGCGGCGGGCCCCCGGCTCTGAGCAAATCCTGGCAGGTGCATACAAATGGGTGTGCTGTTTCTTTCTCACTTTTCTTGCTTCTTCTCACACCTGACTTGATTACCTTCTCCAGCAAACAGTCAGGTCCCCCATTCGTTTTCTTACGAAATTACGTTCACTGGGGCCTTTTAGGGTCGCATTATATTAAGGATCTCCTTTCCAGATTTGTGTTTTGGTGCAAACTTCAAAAGAAGATAGGCTTTTTTTTTTTTTTTTTTTAAACCAGTTCTTGTCAGTTAAAACAAACTGCTTTCTATCAGGCTTCGCCTGGTGATTTGAGGATGCCCCTCCTGGAGCTCAGTGCACAGGGCTTTCTGAGCAGCATTCCCTGGGGGTGGGGTGGAGCAGCCCAGCTACCTGGATCAGGTGAGAAATGCAGGTCCCGTTCACCCCGACCTGTTGCCTGCCGGGGCCCCCAGAAGATTCTGGCGTGCCGGACTTTGAGAAGCTCTCCTTAACCACGTGTCCCATTTTGGTCATTGACTTCACTTTTTAATGAAGTCGATTATAGTACCCTTTATAATATCTGCACCACAGGTGACAGACTCACTGCAGAGAGATCTCCAAAACACGTGCTGGTCCTACCCCAATGCTTGGCTCTCTGGACAAGTCTTTTTTTTTTTTTTTTAATTAAATTTTATTTATTTATTTGAGAGAGTGTGTGTGCATGGTGCATGTGCACGAGGAGGAGGGGAGTGGCAGAGGGAGAAGCAGGCTTCCCGCCAAGCAGGGAGCCCGATGCGGGACTCAATCCCCAGATCCCGGGATCATGACCCGAGCCGAAGGCAGACGCTTCACCGACTGAGCCACCCGGGCGCCCCGAGACAAGTCTTGTTAGCGGGATTTATCAGGAGCACGTCGGGAGTTTGAAAACTGTTTGCTCCTCTCTTGCTCCGTTCTGGGGACATGCGAGCCCTTCCCGAGACGTTCTAGAAAACGTGCCCTGAGAGAGAAGTCTTCACTTCACGTGACCTTCCAGATGTCGACATTAACAGAAGTGCATCTAGCTCGTGGCGGGGGTGAGATCAGCATCATCTGCCCAAACCCGTGAGCTCCGAGGAAGGTGCGCTGCCTGCTGCGTGTGCCAGGAACGGGAGTGGAGCTGGGCCCCTGGCCGGGGGGAGGGCAGACCCAGGCCCAGCGTGGGGACGGCCCTGCCCTCCTGTCCACTACACAGGGCGGGTTTGTGCGACTTTGCGCCGGGCCCCCTCACCTCCACCTGCTGGCGACTGGCTGAGCGGACCTAGCCGGCAGCTCCTCTGGAAGGCTTCGTCCCCCATGCTGTTTGGTTTTGAGTCGCTGGGGAAGGCCACCCCCTCGGCAAGTGGTGCAGTCAGTGGTTCTGACGGTCCTGCTCGAGTTCGGCCTCTCAGGAGTCACCAGAAACGCGGGGACTTGCCTGAGCGTGGCAGCTGCGTGTGCCCCACACGTGCCCGACGTGACAGAGGAGGTGTTTGCTCGTAGCCTGACATGCACGGGACAGAGAGGCGTGCGCTCTGGGTGACGGTCACACACCGTCGTGGGCCCCTCGGAGGTGTGGACTGGGTTTGCTCAGCTGTTTCTTTTCCAGGACAGACGTGGGGACGAGCACGTGTGCTCCTCTCTCTGGCTTGCCTAACTCGTCGTGAAAAACCCAGACAGCAGATAGTTTGGGCTCTGGGGGCTGCAGGGTCTCGTCGTAACTGCTCACACCCGCCGTTGCCTGTGGACCTAGCCCCCGATGCGCCTGAACAGACAGGCGTGGCCGTGTTCCGTCAGACTTTATTTGCGGACCGTGACGGTTGAGCTTTTGGTGCTTCGTGTGTCACGGGAGGGTATTCTTCTGATTCTTTTGATTCTTCTTCACTTGTTCTAAAACATGACAACTCGTGGCTCGCAGGTTGCAGGACCCGGGGTGGGCAGAAGTGGCTTGTGGACTGTGGTTTGCTGACCGTTGATCTGGGTCTTGGCAGTATGTTCCAGAAGGTGGCAGTCCGCGGCTCTGGGTGTGGGTGGCCTGTCACGGCCATGGTGCTTCCACACACCCCCTCCTGTGGGTCCCGTTGGCCTGGGGTTCTGGCAGCTTCCCATCTGGGCCGTGTGTATCTGTGGTCGCGGGCTGAGCCCTGCATGTCGGGGCCATGGTCCCGGTGTAACTGGGCAGGGCGGGGTCGGGGGCAGCGGGGTGATGCCCTCTGGGCTCTCCGGGGCTGCGTGCCCTCAGAGCCCTCAGCCCGTGAGGCGGGCGTTCAGGTCTCTGTCACCTGTAGTGAAATCACGCTAAGTGCTTCCTCCCCAGCACGTTCTTGTGGCCCCGGTGGGACCTGGTGAGCTGACTGGCCGGCTCTGTGCAGATGCGCCCTCGGGGCGCCCACGGATGCCCCAGGCGGCACTGGCTCCTGCCGTGGGCTCCCGGCGTGTCCGCTGCCTGCTGGGCTGGGTAAGGCAGTCCCCCGGAGCCAGGACCAGAGGAAGCTGAGGGTGGCTCCCCAGCAGCGCAAGCTCTTTGTCATCCCGAGCGAATGAGCCTTCCACCTCTGCCACGGGAGTCGAGAGAAACCGGGTCCCTCTTTTGTCTCCTGCAGGGCGGAAAGGGACGCATCGGCGTGGTCATATCATCCTACATGCACTTCACCAACGTCTCGGCCAGGTACGTGGGGCGTCCGTGCTGCTGGGGGTGCCGGCAGGTCTCGGAGGGGGAGGCTCGGCCGGGAACCAGCCCCAGCTGAGGATGTGTGGCTCTGTCTGCCTCATGCTGACGTTTTGGTGGCGGCGGCAGGAGTAAAGCGAGCGCACTGTCCGTCTCTAACAGAAACCGTAGGGGTGGACGGGACCAGTACTGGAAGCAAGACCCACGCGGTCTCACTGAGCGCCTTCTACCCTGTAAAGCCGAGTGGCCACGGCCGCCGTGCTTTGCGTGCCCTGGGTCTCCGGGAAGTGCTCTGCAGATGTGTCTTTTCTCCCTCAGTCCTCCAGGGTAACCCAGGCGGCAGTTGTCTCCACTCGTACTTTACAGGTGACAAGACCGAGGCTCAGGCGTGCTCATGGTCTCCCGGCCTGTGAGCGGGAAGCCCGGTCTCGTCTGGTCCCCAGGAGGTGGAAGGGCCACCAGGGGACCTGCCCACAGGAGGCTGGGACGGCGGGCACAGCGAGGCTGGTGGGAACCTGCTGGCGCTGGGGGGGCTCGGCACGGTGCCCCGAAACCCCTGGTGCCTCCAGGCACACGGTGCCCCCGGACGCACAGCGCCCCAAGCACACATCTCACTCCCACTGAAATCCAGTCCAGAAGTATCGTTCTTTGTGGGTTTGCATTTACCCTGTCGTCTCAATGGCTGCATTGTGAGGCGAGGACTGCTCCACTCTCAGGACATACAGGCTCTGTTCACATTGGCCGATAAATCCTGCCTTTCCCAGCAGCAAGGAGCGAAATCTGACTTTCCAAGTGTTTTCTCTGGACACAAACTGTGGAGCTGGTGCCTGCCAGGGAGGAAACCCAAGCGCCCGTGAAACCCAGATCCCTTCTCGGTGATAATAAGGGTTTGTGTGTGCGCCAGAGCCCGAGGTTGCTGCTCACACCGAGTCCCCCAGCTGGGCCCAGACGTGCGGATGCTGCTCGGCGTCGCCCTCACATTTCCGCCCCAGCAGCGTGGCTCCACCCTGTTTTTCTCAATCACCACTCTTTCCTGAACGTGCGCCCCGGCCTCGTAGAGGTGGCGGCCCGGCCCCGTGTGTGGAGCTGGTGTTAGGTCGTTAGGCATGGGTGGATCGTCCCCGTCGAGGTAGCTTCTCGTGATTCCCTGCTCGGAGCCTGCCGTGATGACCAGCCTCTCACACATACATGTGTCCTCGATCATCTCTCCGCTTCCCCGCTTAGATGACATTCCCAGAAGCCGTCACGGGGAGCACGCATTTCTAAAACCTCTGTCATTAACTGTGCTCGGGATTGTATCAGAAACTAGAAATCAGCAAGTAGCAGGAAGGCTCTTGGGTCGGCACCCTGGAGACGAGCGTTCAGGGAGACCGTCAGCGGGAACACTCCTAATGCTGACAGTGATGTTCTGAACACACACACACACACACACACACACACACATGGGCCAGAAATGCATTGTCAGCATTTGGTAAGACCTGTGAGCTCCGGGAAGAGGAATGCGTACAAGTGAGGGTGGGCACGTTTCAGCTTAGAAACATAACGCCCTCGATACGGTGAATGCTCAGTGTTGAAGGGGACCTTCTTTCTGGGACAGCCCCGTCAGTGCAGCCCAGGACAAACGCACGTGGTGAATCCCCGTGTTCTGCAGGGGTGCATGCATGCATGCTGCAAGGGGAGAGCCCAACTGCCATCAGATTTTCAGGGAAGCTTTGGGCTCAAACAAGACTCAGTTGCTGCGACCTCTTACACCCATGTCCCACGATGTATCTGAAGTCAGATCAGGCAGACCCGTGAATGCCCGGCTACTGGGTCTCCTGAGGATCCTGCTGAGTGCACTCTGCTTGTGGGCTTTGGGTCGTTGGGGAGCAGGGTTGCCTGTGGCTGAAACCTGAGGACCATGATGTGCAGCCATGAGGGCTTGGAAGCTCGCCACCCTCATCAGCCGCCGCCGTCTGACCCCCTCAGGCCTGCTGAGAGTCGTGACTCCCTGCGGGTCCCGAGCTGGCCCCCGGGGGCTTGCTGGCTGTCACTAACCGTGGTCTCTGGGTGTGCCCCAAACCCTCGGGATCCCGACACTCACGCAGAGCCCTCTGCTGCTTCCCTGCTGTCATGGGGCCGGTGTGGCAATGGGACAGTTCAGGATGCCAGCCCCGTGCCCGCCTGTGGGAAGGAGAGAGGGTGCCGCTGTGTTGGATGGCGTTCCAGGCCTGCGGGCCATAGCACCTGTCCCCATCAGCCCACCACCCGTGGCGTCCATGCTGAATGCTGCGTCTCTCTCTCTCTCTCTCCTTTCTCAGTGCCGACCAGGCCCTCGACAGGTTTGCGATGAAGAAGTTCTATGATGATAAAGTTTCAGCTTTAATGCAGCCTTCCCAGAAACGGTATGTATGTGTCCCCGAGCCAGAGCAAACAGGACAGTGAGATTTTACGTTTCAGAAAGTGGGGACAAGAGGGCCATCTCCCCTGACCCGCCAAGCGGAGGTGGGGAGGGCTGGTGGGTGCCCAGCAGTGAAGAAGAGCCCCCGTGCACGTGGGTGGCATGGGAGCCCCTGGCCCTGGCTGGCTCTGAGAGGTGGACCCAGGAGTCCCCCACGTGCTCCATGTTCCACGTTGGGTCCTCCACGCTCACAGCCGGTATGGATTCATGCCATGATGTTGGAACTGGGTTCCGTCTGCTGGACCGGGGGTCGGCAAACCGTGTCTGTAACGGGCTGGCGAGTGGCTGGTCTGGGCCTCACAGGCCACGTGGTCTCCCGTCACGGCAGCGGCGGACCTAACACGAGAGTGAATGTGGCCTCATGGGCAGGTTTGTGTTTGGCCGACTCCTGCCCTAGGCTGTCAGCCCCTGAGGTCCGGGGCCCTTTCCTCACGTTGACCTCCCTGGCCCGCCCACCACCCCCTCTTGGAGCTCGGCTCGGCCCCCTGGGAGATGCTCAGTCGGTGCTGCGAAGGGCCCTGGGGAGCAGACTTCCTCCTGCCGTGCGCCCCCAGGTGAGCCCACGCACCCTCCGGGACCGGCTGAGGAAGGCCCTAGCCGCCCTCCTCCCAGAGCGGGTCTTTGCACAAGGTGACATGGAGCCAAGCACGTAGTCACAGTACTTTCATTTTAAAGCGAACAGCGAGGAATTGGCCAAGAATCGTCAAGATGGTTGCCAGGATGCTTTCCCATCTTGTGCGCCTGACCCTTCCATCAGCTCCCCCAGGTGCCCGCGGGCGTGGCTGAGATGGAGGGGAGATGGAGGGTTCTGCATCCAGGAGGCTGGTCACGGGTGTGTTTTGATCAGGAGCCGGGCCTCGATATTTCCATCTGGGAAACGGATTTCCAGGCCGCAAGGGGCATCTCCTCCTTTTATCCCGGGAGTTCCCAGTGTCTGGGCCTGTTTGTGGTCAGACCCATCTCCTCTTCCTCCCTCCCCTCACCCCTCCTCCCCTCCCCCTGCCCCCTGTCCTCCTCCCCCCTCCCGCCCCGCCCGTCTTCCTTCTCTCCCTTTGCCCATCCAGCAACCCCTGCCTCTGGCAGCCACCACTCTATTCTCTGCATCTGTGAGCTCTTGAGCTTATTTTGTTTGTTCATTCGTTCTGTTTTTTAGATTCCACATATAAGTGTCTTTTTCTGTCTGATTTATTTTGCTATGCGTAGTACCTTCGAGGTCCATCCACGTTGTTGCAGATGGCAGGATTTCATCCTCTCTTTATAGCTGATTCATATTCTGTGATATATATAACAGCACACCTCCATCCATCCATCCATCCATCCATCCATCCCTCCATCGACGGGTGGACGCTTGGGTTGCCTCCATATCTGGGCTACAGTCAGTATCGCTGCAGTGAACACGGGGTGCAGATTGTGTTTTTGTTTCATCAGGTAAATAACCCAGTAGTGGGATTACTGGACCATATGGTATTTCTATGTTTAGCTTGTTGAGAACCCTCCATACTGTTGTCCGCAGCGGCTGCATCAGTTGGCATTCCCACCAACAGTGCACGAGGGGTCCCCTTTCTCCGCATCCTTGCCGACACCTCTTGTTTTCCGTGTTGATTTTAGCCATTCTGACAGGTGTGAGGTGATACTTCATTGTGGTTTTGATTTACATTTCCCTGATGATGAGTGATGCTGAGCATCTTTTCATGTGTCTGTTGGCCGTCTGGATGTCTTTTTTTGAAAAATGTCTATTCAGATTTTTTGCCCATTTCTTTTTTTTTTAATTTTTTATTGTTATGTTAATCACCATACATTACATCATTAGTTTTAGATGTAGTGTTCCATGATTCATTGTTCGTGCACAACACCCAGTGCTCCATGCAGAACGTGCCCTCCTCAATACCCATCACCAGACTAACCCAACCTCCCACCCCCCTCCCCTCTAGAACCCTCAGTTTGTTTCTCAGAGTCCATCGTCTCTCATGGTTCGTCTACCCCTCCGATTTCCCCCACTTCATTCTTCCCCTCCTGCTATCTTCTTCTTTTTTTTTTTTCTCTTAGCATATATTGCATTATTTGTTTCAGAGGTACAGATCTGAGATTCAACAGTCTTGCACAATTCACAGCACTTACCAGAGCACATACCCTCCCCAGTGTCTATCACCCAGTCACCCCATCCCTCCCACCCCACCCCCCACTCCAGCAACCCTCAGTTTGTTTCCTGCAGTTAAGAATTCCTCATATCAGTGAGATCATATGATACATGTCTTTCTCTGTTTGACGTATTTCACTCAACATAATACCCTCCAGTTCTATCCGCGGCATTGCAAATGGCAAGATTTCGTTCCTTTTGATGGCTGTATAATATTCCATTGTATATATATACCACTTCTTCTTTATCCAGTCATCTGTCGATGGACATCTTGGCTCTTTCCACAGTTTGGCTATTGTGGACATTGCTGCTATAAACATCGGGGTGCACGTACCCCTTCGGATCCCTACTTTTGTATCTTTGGGGTAAATACCCAGTAGTGCAATTGCTGGATCGTATGGCAGCTCTATTTTCAACTTTTTGAGGAACCTCCATACTGTTTTCCAGAGTTCTTTTGCCCATTTCTTTTAAAGAGTTTACTTACTTATTTTAGGAGGGGCAGAGGGAGAGGGAGGGAGAGAATCTCAATCAGATTCCCTGTGGAGTGTGGAGCCCGATGCGGGGCTCTATCCCATGACCCTAAGATCATGACCTGAGCTGAAATCAAGAGTAGGACCCTTAACCCACTGAGCTACCCAGGCTCCCCAGTTCCATACAAATTTCATTTTCTTTTTATTTTTGTGAAAAATGCCATTGGAATATTGATATGCATTGCATTGAATCTATAGATCGATGTTAACAGTATTAATTCTTCCCATCCACGAGGATGGAGCATTTTCCCGTTTGTGTCTCTTTCAGTTTTTTCCATAATGTCTTATAGTTTTCAGTTCACAGGTCTTTCACCTCCTTGGTTAAATTTATTCTTAGATATTTCACTCTTCTTGATGCTATCGTAAATGGGTTGTTTCTTCATTTTTTGGGGGGGGTAGTGCATTATTATATGGAAATGCAACAGATTCATGTATATTAATTTTGTATCCTGTGACTTTACTAATTTCATTTATTCCAACAATTTTTGAGGGGAGTCTTTAGGGTTTTCCGTGTATAATATCATGTCATTTGCAAACTGTAACAGTTTGAAATCTTTCTTTCTGATTTGGATGACTTTCATTTCTTTTTCTTGTCTGATTGCTGTGGCTGGGACTTCAATACTACGTTGATTAAAAGTAGTAAGAGCGGGCATCCTTGTCTTGTTCCTGATCTTAGAGGAAAAGTTTTCAGTTTTTCACTATTGAGTATGGTGTTAGCTGTGGGTTTGTCATGCACAGCCTTTATTATGTGGAGGGGTGTTCCTTCTATACCCACTTTGTGACTTTTTATCCTAAATGGATGTTGTATTTTGTTTTTTCTGTGTCTATTGAGACCGTCATATGATTTTTATTGTTTCCATCCACTCAAAATGCTCAGCACCCACCAGGGAAGAATGTTTGCCTTATTTTCTTCTTTTTGCTGTTACGACTTACTAGAGCTTTGTAATTGTGGTGCAAGAGCGTAGAACACGGAAGAGCATTTTCTCACCGTAGCAAGCCCATGGCTTTCACGTGCCCTTCCTGTCTGCGTGCACCAGAAACTATAGCATTTACAATGTGGAACGGTGGCGTGGGTTCTATTCTGCCTTCCTTGGCAAATCTTCCTGCACCCGCAGATGAGAGGAATGCTATCCACCCAGCTCCTGCAATGGGAGATGCTCACAAACCATTATCGAGTAGATAGATGACTGAGTCAGTGCATACGATACATCTGGAGGCGCTTTGAGTCCAGAGGAGCCCAGGATGGCCACATCTGTGGCATAAATGCTGTGATGGGAACCCTCCCTGTGGTCCCTGCTACCCCGAGGGACTGAGCTCGAGAAACCCATTTCAAATGGGTCTCGTGGCAAGAGTGAATAAATTAGCTTGCTGGGGGTTTGTGGCCTGGGACGCTTGGGGCCTCAACAGCAAGCCTCCTCCAAGCCTTCACATATTTAATACTGGGCTTACGAGCTGACCTTCCCAGGGCTGCGGGGCAGAGGGGATCCCGAGGAGGCCCGCGGTGGGGTCATTCTCGTGTCTGACCCTGCCTGGTAAAAGGTGTGGGCCTGCAGAGACTAGGATTCCTGGGTGTGTCTGATAGCCGGACATTTCCCAGTATAGCTTTATTTGGCTTTTGACATGATGCCTTGTGTGTCTGAAAGAGCACATGCACGGGAGACAGGGCAGATACAAGGGAGCAGGCACCTGTCCTCTCTCCTCGGGGAGCATGCCCACTGCGGCCCATGGGTTTCTCGAGCTTGGAGCCAGGGTGGCCCTCCCGCTGGGCCTCCTGCCACAGCCAGGGATGGGAGCGCTGGGGAACAATACTAGGTAACCAGCAAGCTTGGGTCCCAGCCCGCCTCTCCCCGCCATCTGTGCGCCCCGTGAGCCCCGTGGAGGTGAAGACAGGAAGGCTCAGGAAAAGGTGTGCCCTTACAGTGGCTCCTCCTGCTGAGCCACGTGACGTGGTCATGCTAGCTTTGATACGCGCATGTGCACTCGTGTTCAGGGAGAGCTGAGCGGTGTCGGGTGCGGGTCACGTGTTTAGGGAGATTCGAGGAAATTCCCACGATAAATTTCGGCTCTCGTCACTGGTGGTAAGGACCGCGTTGCTGGCACGGAGTGACGCACATGCTGTGCAGTTAGTCCCCCCGCCTGGACACGCCCGGTTCCTGCACCTTCTTGCTGGTTGAGATGAGGCGTGGAAAACTCATCACAGGGAGTTCCTTTCCTCCAAAGAAAGAGGAGAGGGTGGGAGGCCGAGGAGCTGTTTGGAACAGGGTGCCTACGCTGTGTGCTAGGGGAACGCCCAGGTTCCCACCCCCTTCGCCGCAGGTGAACCCCGCGTTCCCAGTGGGCTGGATGAACTGGAGGCGCGAGCCTTTCCTTTTCTTTTGTTCCTCCTGTCTTCACCCGGGAATTGCTCTGCTTTTCTTGGGTGCAACAGGCGCTTCCTGGTGGCCATGAACACACGTGGCCTGGTTACCGGCCCTCCGTGTCCGGCCTCCGCTAGCCAGGCCGCGGGCTCCGGCCACAGCTGCCGCATCGGCTTGCGGAGGACGTGCGTGTTCTGAGAGGGCATCTGTGTGCGTGCTGCTTTTGTGGACAATAGGACGAGGCCGCCCCAGTGGGCAATTCATAAACGTTCAGCGTGTGTTTCTCTGTGAAACGTCTTCTCACCCCTCCCTGACATGGACACTGGAGTAAAATCGGGGCGTAGAGAGGGGAGATACGTGGGTTGTGGATCCAGTGTCCCTAGCATGCTGCGATGCACCCGGGGGCTGGCGGTGTGCGCGGACCGAGCAGCATGCGGGCACGTGGTAGGGGGCGGCTGCTGGCTGCCCGGCTCTGTGTTTGGGGCTTGGTGATCGTCAGCTAGCTGCCTGTGGGCCCTGGAGACTGTTAGGGGGGCGCAACATGCTGCCTCTGGGTCAGTGTCCCGGGCTGGTGGGGAGCAGGCCCGTGGCTGGGCACGCAGAGCCATGGGCCCTGTGCTGAGCTTGGGCTCATCGACGTAAAGCTTTAGCCGTGGACGTGACCGTCACGGCTGGAGGGAGGGGATAAGGGTGCAGTCTCCACTCTGTCCACATGCTTTATAGAAATAAATACACGGATGACCTTTGTCATGCGTCCGTATCTTAGGAGTGGTGCGGTCGGGAGGGGCATGGGTTAGCTTTTCTTTAATGAACTTTCTGGTCACAGGCATGCTGATTATAAGCCTCAGGGTGACCTTTACCACATCACAAAACCCACGTCTGCTTGGCGATAGGCCCCCAGCCATGAGCGGCACAGAGCCTGCCAGGGTCTCCCCATGGGGTGGGAGGTGAGGGCAGAGTGACCCCGCTGCCTTTAGCGGGGTGAGGTGCTTACGGGAGAGGGGGACCGTGACAGCCCCGTGGCCTGACCCTGCGTGGCTCTGGGGGGGGGGACCATGACAGCCCCATGGCCTGACCCCGTGTGGCTCTGGGGGGGGGACCGTGACAGCCCCGTGGCCTGACCCCGTGTGGCTCTGGGGGGGGGACTGTGACAGCCCCGTGGCCTGACCCTGCGTGGCTCTGGATTGGGGGCAGAGGGGCTGCCTGCGGTGTGGGAGCAGAGCCAGCATAGGACCCGTGGTTCTGCACTGGGCGCTCGGCCACGTTCCGTGGGGGGCATCCAGGGATCCCCGCAGGGTCGCGTGCCCAGGCTGCGCTCTCGGGTCAGACGTGGAGGTCGAGACCCCCTTGGCTGTGGGCAGTGGGGCTGGGTCCCCTCGCAGTACCCCGGGGTAGCAGACTCTGGCCTCCGTGCGCAGGCAGGCCCACGTGGGCTCAGAGCCGTGGGGCACCTGTGGGAGCCCTGAGCCGTTGTCCGTTGCAGGTACGTGCAGTTTCTCAGCGGGCTCCTGTCGGGGTCGGTGAAGATGAACGCCTCGCCACTGTTCCTGCATTTTGTCATCCTGCACGGCACTCCCAACTTCGACGCGGGCGGAGGTGAGTGTCCACACACAGCAGTGTCTCCAGACCTGCTGGCCCGTCCGGACCCTGCGCTTTATGGGCCTGCCTTCCCTCCCTTCCCCGTCCAAGCATCCTGGTCGCCGTGTGCTGGGGCCCAGGGAGGGGCAGCAGGACCTTTCCCCAGGAGCCCCACCATCCGTTACTCTGCGGTCCAACGCCATTGCCGCTTCCCCAAAGCGTGGACGCAGCATGGGGTCACCTTGCCCCAGGACGCCTCTCTCTTGCTGTTTGTCAAACTGCCATCTGTCCGTCCGGTCCTGCGTCTCACAGACAACTCTGTCTTTCAGTGTGCCGGCCCTTTCTGAAGCTCTACCAAGCCATGCAGCCCGTGTACACGTCCGGGATCTAGTAAGTGCTGTGCTCCCTGGAAATGCACCTCTCGGAGCCGCCTGTCCCACGGGAAGGGGTGGGGGCGTCGGGCGGGGGGTGCCCGGTGGGCGGCAGGTGCACGGTTGGCTCCAGGAAGGGGTGTGGACGCGGAGCCTGGAGGGAGGGGAGGCCTGCACACCAGAGTCCCCTGACGGTGTGCCTTTCTGTCCCCTGCGCATTTTCGGCAACGGGCAGACACGTGCCCTCAGAATTTGTACGAGTCTCTGGGCTTTCCTGGTTTGCTTTCTTGTCTGCTTGCATCAGTGTTTTGTGGACATTAATAGAACGTGAGTGAGTGGTAGGGTTGGAACGAGCTGTTGTCACGTGTCTGGACTCACGGCGGACCTGCACGTGGGTGGCACCTTCGCAGTGATGCGGTCAGCTATTTACAGACGTGCACGCTCCGCATGCTGGACAGACCCCCGGGAAGTGCATTCCTGAGCCACGCGGGATATTTTGTGTCCTCTCCGAGTTTGAGCTGTGCGGTCGCTTTTCTCAAAAGGGATTCTTTCCATTAAATCATGAAATTGCATCACGCTCTACCTTCTTGTGTGTCCCGAAGCAACGTTGGCCCGGAAACCCAGAGCAGGATCTACATCGCCATCGAGCCTGCCCAGCTGCTGAAAGGGGACATCATGGTGAGTGTGCACCTGTCCCTCATCCTTGGTGAAGCCCGTGGGAAGCGTGGCAGGTGGCCTTGATCGTAGGGCATTTGGCTTATTTTCTGAGAAAGCCGTTTTACTAGAAGGGGCAGAAGGAATCGAGAGGGCCACTCGCTGTGTGCTCTCCGAAATGCGAGCCCTAGCTCGGCCCCTGCGCTTCCGAGGGTCCCCGTTCCCCAGCCATACGTGCGATCTCGCGAGTCCTTAGTGACCCCCGTGTGAAATCCAGCTGGTGTGTCATGGCTTGGTGAATGGCCTCCACGGTGATTTCTCCAGATAATTTCAGTTCCAGGGGGTTCTGCTTCTTGGATGAGATGAGCTAATACATTTTTCCCTTTTTTCCGTCTTGAATATAGAAAAAAATCGTACATCTAACATGATTTAGAGGAGTTTGGCACACGGGAAGCCTTGAGGCCCCTGTACCTTCCCACATGCGTAGGAGTAATTCCCTGTAGTGTTTCCAGGGCCTGGGGGGACCTGTGACAAGATGTAGATGAAGATTCTTATTACCGTCCCGTAAACATTTGGATTTCACATCCTTTCTCAGGGGTCGGCCCATCCCGAGTTCTCACAAAAGGCGGGTCAGTGGGGTCGTGAAAGTTGGTGTCTGGGTGTAGACGTCCCACCTCTGTGTTCAGCCCACAGTGGGGGAGCCCACTGTCCCCGTGAGACAAACAGCATGTCCCTCGTCCCTGAGGACCTCGAGATGAAGGGGCTGGTGTCCTCAGGCCACGGGGGGCAGAGCTGAGGTGTATGTAGGGTGGCGGATGCATTTCTTCAGCCCATTTGCTCACTGTGTTGCACTGTCCCCAAGGAGAAAGCTTTCTCTTCTAGGATGTTCTGCAGAGCAGCTCCCAGCCTCCTCCTTTGGTCAGAAGACCGAGAGAGAGGGGGGAGGGTGTGTCTCTGCATTCTGCCCAGGTGGCCCCTGGGCGCATCTCCCAGGACCCGATGATTGGCCAACGGGCTGAGCTGTTACTGGGCACTGGCTGGATGCTGATAGCTCTGTGCCCTGGGTCTAGTGTTCCAGCTTTCAAGGAGGCCAAGGGACCCAGAGAGGCCACGAGAGGCTAGCGGGGATGCTGA